GCGATAGCACAAGGGTGTTTGCCTTGCATGTGGCCGACCCAGGTTCGATCCCCAGCATTCCATATAGTCCTCTGAGCACTGCCAGGAGTAATTCCTGAGTGCAGAGTCAGGACTAGGAGTAACCCCTGTGCATCACTGGGTATGACCCCCCCCCCCCAAAAAAAATGGTGGGAAAATAAAAGAAGGTGGGAGTGGTCAGTTTGGGCAAGCTCTCCCTGTAGAGTCTTGATTCCTTCAAAGCTTTGAAGTCTTGATTCTTAAAGGATTCAAGACTCCCAGCTAGAGGAGTTGGAGACCTGGGTTCTTGAGGGGCTGGAGACCCGGAACCTCATGTAGTCCTTGGAGCCCACCAGAAGTGATCCAAGAGCAAGCCCTGAGTACCACCGGGTGTGGCCCTCAAACCAAGTCATAAGCGAAGGATCCAGCTAGAAATGTCACCACAAAGTGTGGCAGCTTTGGGCCACTTGGAACACAGGGAAGAGCAATTTTGGAGGAGGGCATCAGGCTGGAGGGGGTTAGGAAGGGAACTGAGCAATCAGAAGCCATTTTCCAGAAACTCTGCCGGGAAGGGCAACAGCAAGGCAGAGGAACGAGGCACCAGGGAGTGCTGTTCTGTTTTGTTGTGGGTTTTTGTGTTTGGTGTGTTTTCAGTGTTTCCTTGAAGTACATTCCTTGAAAGTACTTGTACACTGATGGGAAATGGAGCAAGAGATTGATTACGTAGTAAGAGAAAGGATGAGAGATGGTCCTATTAGTTTCCTCGTCAGGAATCCAGGCTGGATTACAAATGAAATGTTATTATTTTAATTATTTTGATCATCATCATTATTTTAGTGGTTGGGCCCCTGGTAGTGTTCAGGGCTTACTCATGGCTCTGCGTTTAGGGAGCATTCTTGGTGGTGCTCAGGGGTCCTATGTGGTGGGCAGAGGGGGAGGGGATTAGAACCTGTGTTGGCTGCATGCAAGGCAATCACCTTAGTTCAGTGCAATCTCAGTGGACCTTATTTTAAGTTATTACTGTTCTTTGGCTTACCCTTATGCATCAGATTTAAGCAAGGGGGCATTAAGCAGCTTTTAGCATGGAATGTTACTGCAATTCTGAAAGATTTATGTTAGACCTAGCAGAAACATATCCTAAAAGAATATGTTAGACTTCTTCAAAAATCTTCAACTGGGGTTGGAATGATAATAAGATAGGGTGCTTGCCTCGCATGTGGCACTGACCTAGGTTTGATCTCACTCACTCACACACACACAGACACACAGACACACACACACACACAGACACACACACACACACACACACACCCCTTCAACCAGTTCTATCTTAGCTTCCCAGGGGGGCTGGGGGCTGAGAGTTGTAGGGTTACCCACTGTGGTTACCTATTGGCATTTTGGTTTACCCACATTTGTGTGGTGTCAGAATGTCTCCTGAATATGGTGGAATGTTGAGCAGAATCTTTAGCTTCTATCTGCTAGATACCAATACATCAACTTGTTACAGCAAGAAACCAAGACATTACCAATTATTCTTTTTCTTTGTTTGCTTTTGGGCCACACCCAGCCGTGCTCAGGACTTATTCCTGGCTCTGTGCTCAAGGATCACTCCTGGCATCCTGGTGAGCTTGGGAACCTGGATGCCAGGAGTGGGATCAAATCCGTGTTGGCTCTTGCAAAACCAATACCCTGCCCACTGTACTATCTCTTTGGCCCTATATACTTTAGGGGCGAGAGGAGAGACAGAATTGCTCCCATTGAGAACCAATGAGCTATTCAAAACTAAGAAAGTGTAATAGACCAAAATAAAGAAAGAAACCTGGCCTGGGGCTAGTAATGGCTCAGCGGTAAATCATGTGTCACAAATGTGAGGTCCTGGATTTGGGGCCCTCCAAGAGGAAGTAAATCAGCTAATCTTAACAGCTGTGCAAGTTGATAAATATTACTGTTTTTATTTCCGTATGCTGTTGTGAGAAATCATTCATAAACATTGTATGAAAGCATATTGTGCTAAACATACACAATCCTATTTTTTTTAACTCCTAAAGAAATACTGTAATATATAAACATTCGTATCTTAAGTAGACAGAACAGAAAACCATGCCAGGGGCTGGAGTGACAGTATAGCAGGTAGGGTGCTTGTCTTGCCCGCGACCACGTCAGGTTTCATCCCTAGCACCCCATATGGTCCCCTGAGCCTTCCCAGGAGTGATTCCTGAGCCCAGAGCTAAGAGTAAACCCTGAGCACTGCCAGGTGTGACCCCAAAACAAACAAAAAAGAAAACCATACCAAATACTTACAAGGAAATTGAACTCAAGGATGAAGTCAGGAAAAGGAAGCTCCCCAGTATTTCATTGGTGTTCCTGAATTTCACATTTTGTCAACCTGATTAAAGATGTTGACATACTTGTGTAAATAAAGGAAACAGAGTTCCCTGAGCAATGTCAGGAGTAATTCCTGAGTCCCCTGAGCACTGCCAGGAATAATTCCTGAGTTCCCTGAGCACTGCCAGGAATAATTCCTGAGTCCCCTGAGCACTGCCAGGAATAATTCCTGAGTCCCTGAGCACTGCCAGGAGTGATTCCTGAACTCAGAGGTGTGGGCCCAAAACAAAAATAAACAAAAAGGAAACAAAAAACAAAACAAAAAGTCCAGAAAAAGGGGGAGGATGAAATGAAATAATATCACCAGTTACTGTTTTGATCCGTATGCTTTAGAACTTAATGTGCAGTCGTTCCCTTATTCATTACTTTATTGCACATCTTATTGTGGGGTGTGGGGTGGGACACTGACCTGGTCTGAAACCAAGCTTGATGGTGTTTAGGGCCATGGATGAAAACTGGGTTGGCGTTGGGCAGGGCATACACCTCACCCCTGTCCTATTTCTCTGTTCCCCCATCCCCTCCACCACACATGTGTATTTTTTAAACAGGGGATAGGATCTGGATTGTAATGGAAGATTTTGTTTCTTCGATAGGAAGCTTTGGGGACATTTTTATTTATTTTTTTGGCCACAATGGTCGTGCTCAGGGTTTATTCCTCTCTCTGCACCCAGGAATTACTCCTGGCAGGACTGGGGACCATATGTGGTGCTGGGGATTGGCCCCCGGTATGGCAATACATGCTGTCCTATTGCTTTGACCCTAGATATTTTTATTTTTAGGGGGGTTTTGGGGTCACTCTTGGCTGGACACAGGGACTACTTCTGGCTCTGTGCTGGGAAAACCTTTGTCTGGCCCCAAAGGCAGGAACTCGTTTAAAAAGAGGAAAATGGTATGATTCTTAGAGTGACGTTTTTAAAACACACATGTGCAGGAATAGTACTGTGTTTCCATGTATGTACACACTGCTGTATTTAACTGTTGGCATGTATTTTTTTCCTTCTATTTTTTGTTTTGCCTTTTTGGGTGACACCGTGATGCTCAGAGGTTTACTCCTGGCTCTACACCCAGGAATTACTGCCAGGGCACTAGGCTGGAGATCAAACCCGGCTCCTCCAGGTGCAAGGGTAGAGCTTGGGCCCAGTGTGGGGGTGTCTCTTGCATCTCCAAGGAGCCCTACATTCGTGGTTTTCAGTCTACACCTGGTGTGTAGACGCATCTTGCCAGGGCTGCAGATTTCTTATCCGTGAACGCCCCCTTCTCTGCTTCCTTTCGACCACTTTCCCATCGTCTTCACGGGATCCTAACAGAATGCCCGGGGTTCAGATTGTAGTAGTATATTCATTTATTTTGGGCTACATTTTGGGCTGTGCTCAGGCTTACTGCCACCACCTCGGTCCTCAGGGCCACTTCTGGCAGGGCTGGGGATTGGACCAGGGTCAGCCACGTGCGAGACAAGCGCCTCATCCTCTCTCACTCCAGCTTGGTTAGGAGGCACGGCTGGGTTGTCTATGAGTTTCAACCGTCAATACTGGAATTTAGTATCTGATGATGAAATATCTGTATTACCTGTAAGACACCAGGATTCTTTTTTTTTTGGCTCTTTTTTTGGGCCACACCCGGGGGGTGCTTGGGCTGACTTCCTGGCTCTGAGGTCAGGAATTACTACTCCTGGAGGCGCTGTGTGTGTGTGTGTGTGGGGGGGGGGGGAACACCCTATGGGATGCCGGCGATCTAAGCCGGGTTACTACTCCTGGTGGTGTTGTGTGTGTGTGTGTGTGCACCCTAAGGGAGACTGGGGATTGAACCTGGTGTGTGTGTGTGCACCCTATGGGATGCCGGGGATTGAACCCGAGTTCTGTGTGTGTGTGTGTGTGTGTGTGTGTGTGTGTGTGTGTACCCTACGGGATGCTGGGGACCGAACCCAGCTTAGTACTCCTGGCCGGGCTGTGTGTGTGTGTGTGTGTGTGTACACCATACGGGATGTTGGGGATTGAACCCGGGTTGTGCGTGTGTGTGTGGGGGGGGGGGGCGACCCTAGGGGCCGAGCGCTGTCCGCCGGGCTCGCGCTCGGGTGCCCAGGACGCTCCCCGGGCAGCGCGGGCCGGAGCGCAGCCCAAGGTCAAGGCCGCTCTCCCCGGCCAGTCTCCAGGGCTCGCGGGCGCCGCGCTGCCGCAGGGCCGGGGGCGGGGGGCGCCGGTGTTCCCCCGCCACCGGCCCCAGCCGCCGCCGTCGTCCCCCCGACCCGACCCGACGCGGCCGGTCCCGGTGGGGGAGGGGCGGGGCGGTCGAGCAGGAAGCCGATGTCGCAGCCCAGCGCGGGGCGGCGGCGGCGGCGGCGGCGGCGCGGGCGGGCGGGGCGGGAGGTGCCGACAAATCGGGGCGCCGGCCGGGGCGGGGGCGGAGGCGGGCCTCGCTCGGGGCCGGGAGGGCTGCCGGTGGCCTCGCGGGAGGCCGAGCCGCCCTCGCCCCCTCCGCGGCCTCCGGGGAGCTCGGCCAGGCCTCGCGCGGCGCGCCGGCCGGTTGCCAAGGGCTGCCCCCGCCGGCACGTCCAGTTGCTAGGGCCTCCATCTTGAGGCGGCGGGCCGCGGCGCCCCCGGAAGGACTTGCCGCGCGGCGCGTTCACTTCCGGTCTGGGGCCTGCGGCGGCGGCGGCGGCGACGGCGGCGGCGGCGGCGGCGGCGGCGGCGGCGGCGGGTCGGGGTAGAAAATGGCGCTGGTGCAGCGGCTCGGGCCTCTCCCCGCGGCGCTGCCGAGGGCTTGAGGCTCGCGGGCCTCTCTCGCCGCGCCCCACTTGCTCGTGCACTTTACACACATGAGGTGAGCGGCGCTGCGTGTGCGTGTGTGTGTGCGTGTGTGTGTGCGCGCGCGCGGGTGTGTGGCGGCGCCGGGGGGGGGGGCGCCGCGGGCGCTGCCGCAGGGCCCGGCGGCGCGGGGGGCGGCGCGGGGGGCGCGGGGGGCGGCGGCCGACGCCCGCTTTGGCGGGGGCTGCGCGGCCGGGGCCGGGCCGGGCCGGGGCCGGGCGGGACGAGCCGGAGCGGGACCGGCACTGCCCGCGCCCGCGGGGGCCGGGCCGGGGCCGCCGCCGCCAGCCCGCCGCGGGGCTGCAGCCCCCGCAGCTTTGTGCGCGCCCCCCGCCCCCCGCCCCGGCGCCCCTCCCCTCCCCCACCCGCCCCGGCGCGAGCCTCTGCCGCAGCGGCTCGGTTTTCAGCGCGCATCCCTCTCTCCCCGCCCGCCGCTCTTCTCTTGCAGAGAATTGGAAGCTAAAGCTACCAAAGACGCAGAACGGAATCTCAGCAGGTAGGTCAGACTGGCCCCCCGACACACGCTGCCCCCCGGGCGCCCCCGAGCCCCAGCCCCGTGCCGCGGGCGCTCCCGCGCCGCTGCGCCCTTTCGGGGGCTCGGGGAGTTCCCCCAACCCCCGCCTTTGCCGCTCCTCCGGGCTCCCCCCGCCCCCGCCACCCCGTGTCATTTTCCTTTTCGCACGCAGGGAGCAGTTGGGAGAGATGGGGCCGGAGGGAATGTTGGCTGGAAGGATTGCAGGGGGATGCGTAATTACGCGTGTCTTCCTTTCTTTGGGAGGCCCCCTCCCCCCAAAAAAGAAAAAAGAAAACAAAAACAAAGCCAAAAAGAAAAAATCCCCAAACCCCCACCAGCAACCAAACCCGAGGAGGAGCAATTCTTGTAAACTTAGTTAAAGCATTCGCACCCTCTTAGAATTTAATTAGGGGGACTTGTGCATTAATTACTATTGTAAATGGTTGCAGGCATTGTGTGAGTCATGATCAAGGCGGCCCTTATGGCGGGCTGTCAAACTGTTTTGGCTTTCCCCGTTATTACTTTGTAACTCAAATTGTTGCCTTTATGAAAAGATACTATGTGTTTGAATTGCCCCCCCCCATACATACGTACACACACGACGAAGGCAGGCGGGTTCTGTTTCATCGGGAAAAGTGTTGCCCTTGAACTTTACCTAGCTTCAACTGTGTTTTGTTTTCTTTTGAAAACCACATTTGTATCTGGGATTTGGTGCGTGCTCTTTTTTAATTTTTTAAATCAGCAGGTAAAATGATAAAAAAAAAAGGGGGGGAGGAAGAAGGGAAATCAATGTTCCTATAACTGGGAATCATTGGTATTGGAAACATATCACGGCCATAAAAAGGAGTTTTTAGTTGTTGTTTTAAAGGATTTCTTTGGGTGGAAATGTTTGCCTTTATTGAGCTGTAATTGCTTAAGCACCAGGACTTGGCACTGTATTTAACTCTTTTTCCCATTCTTCCTTTCCCCTCCTCCTTCCCCCTTAGTCTTTTCTTATTTTCTTTTCCATCTTACTGGGACACTTAGAGACGTTTAGCAGTGGGCAGCTTTCTCTTTTTTGACTTGGTCATGCTAACATTTCTGCGCTCAGCTTTTATTTTTTCCTTTTTGTGGATTGTGCTTGACTAGAAGTTTGAGGTTATGAATATAGATCATACCGCCTAAATATTTTCACCACCAGGACTCATTCCACTTGTGTATTTTATTGCTGCTCACCTATTAAGAGATTGCTGAAGGATGGTTGCTATTGGCTCAAAAAGTCTTAACAATTTTCTGTTTACTTGGCGTGATTACGTGATCATTTAAAAGAAGCCTGAGCTCAGGCTTAAGTAAGTCTTCGCTGGACATTGAAATAACTTTGGCGTCAGAAGTTTAATTAAAGAAATAATGGAGTAGGAAACTTGGAGAAGACGGGTCGTGTCTCTTCAGGGAGCTTCCTCGGTGGAACTGAGCCTTGGTTCCCTTTTCCCTTCCGTTTTTTGCTTTGTCAGGTGCCCATAGAAATGGAAATCTCCTGGAGGTTTTCTTCATGAAGAAGGGTCTCTACCCATATTCATTTTCACATGAGATCGCATTTGGATAGAGTCTATCAGCCATGTCCCAGAGTTTGAATCTTAGCTCTGCTATTTATACGATGACCTTGACTCTTGACAAATCACTTAGCCTCTCTGGGCCCAATCCATAAAAGGGGAGGTCGGCCAGCCAGTTGCAAGGTCAGTAACGCCTCCGTGGACTGAACTAAGGTGAAGTCGGGGGCTTTGAGGGTACCTCCGCACACCAGGGCCTACTTTGCTTGCAGGAGGCCCTAGGTTGGATGCGCGGCTCCAAAAGTCGAATGTTTAACTGTCGGCAGAGAGCACGTAGACAGACTCTAATTAGTACACAATTATAAAAAAAATAGTACATTATTTTAAAAATCTTTTTTGGGGCCTCCATCTGGTGGTACACAGGGTTTACTTCTGGCTCTGGGCTCAGGGATTACTCTGGGCAGGGCTGGGGGTGTCAGGGATGGAACCTGGGACAGCCACGTGCTCGACAAGTGCCTTGCCTGCTGTACTCTTGCCGTGGCCCATAACTCCTACATCTGATGCTGCTGCTGCTGCTGATGGCCCACTCATTGACCTGCGAAGCTTCTGTTGCTCTGAAGGGAAGAGGCAAATCCAGGCATGGAAGTGGATGATTCGGGCTCTTGGGGAGGATCTGAGAGGCTCCCGGGAGGAGATGGGATTTGGTGGGCAGTGCTTCCTCTCAGCTTCATCTCTAGCTCTTGGCTTCCTTTTTTCCCCAAATAAGGAACCTGCCAGTCCCCATTTCTGCCCTCTTTGGGAGGCCAAGGCTTCGCCCTGTGTTCACTTAGGGAACACTTTGGTTCCCTCTCCGTGCTCCCAGAACAAGAGTAGCCACCGGGCAGGGAGGCGGGTGGTGACTGCATTGGTCAGTGACGTTGCATGGACTCCTGATCCCTGGAACACTGTGAGTTAGGCAGAAGTAGTGTCCCCATTTCACAGATGAGGATGTGAAGGCCTGAAGTGGTTAGTCAACTTTCAGGAGAATTACTGTTCCTTGGCTCTCTGAAGCTGCAAATCCTTCTCAAGACAGTGCCAGTTTCAAAAAACAGCTGGTGGGCTGGAGTAGTATATACAGTAGCTAAGGCATTTGCTTGGCCTTCAGCCAACCCAGGTTCCATCCCTGCAATCCCATATGGTCCTGAAGCTCATGAGGAATGATTCCTGAGCACAGAGCTAGAAGTAAGAAGTAAAATCACCATTGGCACTGCTGGGTATGGCCCCAGAACAAAAACTGGCATAAGAGAAAAATGTATTTCACGACTCTTATGGAAGTAGAGAACAATTGTGAATGTGCGTGGTGTGTGTCTAAATATATGTTTACACACACGTGTATATATAGTTTATTTGGGGGGGAGGGGCTGGTGATGCTTTGACTGTGTGCTACATGGGATTGAACCCGGGGCTGTAGCGAGCAAAGCCTGTGCTCCAGCCCTTTGAGCCATCTACTTTGGCCTTTGTTGGCCATCTTAATTCGCTGCTGATCATTAAAATGGTCCGTCATGTTGTCTCAACAAGGTGATCACCATTGGCACGAAATTTGAAAGAATGGAATCATTATTGAAAGGCTGTGAAGAGAGCAGTGTCAGAACCAAAGCAGAAGAAAAGGCACATAGGTGGAAAGTGAAGGGAATTTTGAAATATTGGGTGGTGGTTCAAATGGGTGATATGAAAGTGTGGAGGCGGGGCTGGTGAGTGAGGTCAGTGGATCAGGCACTTGCCCTGCATGTGGTTGACCTGGGTTCGATCCTCAGGATCCCATATGGTCCTCCTATCCCCGCCAGGAGTAATTTCTGAGTGCAGAGTAAGAAGTAATCCCTTAGCATCTCCAGATGTAGCCCAAAATCCCTTCAAGAAAAAGTCTGGAGGCAGATGTAGAGGTGCTTGGCTGGCTAAATCTTCGTTTTACTGGGGCAGTATGGTTAATGTGCATGAATCTTGAAATATTGACTTGTTACTGCATTCTTGGCATGTGTAGGGCTGTGATAGGCTAGGATAAAGGTGACAAGGGGCCTGAGAAATGATTCAGAAATTAAGGTGCTTATCTTGCATGTGGCTGATGCAGATTTGAATCCCAGCACCACATGTGGTCTTCCACACCTGCAATAATCCTCCCCACCCCCCCACCCACCCAGCATCACTGGGTACGGTCCAACTCCTCCCCACCCCTGCCCTAAAAGGATGACGACTGCTAGGAGTGGAGACAAGATCTGTGCTCAAGAGGTGGTAGAAAGGAGATAGAGGGGCCAGAACAATAGTACAGCAGGGAGGGCGTTTGCCTTGCATGTCACTGACCTGGATTCGACTCCCAGCATCCCATATAGTCCCCCGAGCATTGCCAAGAGTAATTCCTGAGTGCAGAACCAGGAGTATAATCCCCTGAGCATCACTGGGTATGGCCCAAAAATTAAAAAAAAAAAAAAAGAAAAGAGTTGAGAGTCCTAAATATTGAGAAGATCGAGTCTGAGATTTGCTGTAGAAGTGAGTGCACCTGGGTCTTCATGCTCCATTAGTGTGATTGGTGCCTGAGCAGTAGTACAGTGGGTGTGCCCTTGCTATACACGTGGCCAGCTCAGGTTCGATCCCCAGCATCCCAGAACACCACATGGTATAAAATTCCTGAGTGCAGAATTTGGAGTAATCCCCGAGGACCACCAGGTGTCACCCACCCCCCCAAAATAGGGGAAAGAAACAAAATCCAACTCCCCCCCACCCCCCCACATGAATATCAGATTGACTCTGCCTGGGATCAGAATTGAGGTCAGAAGTGATAAGTTACATTTCTAGTTGTAAAAGAATCTGTTGTTTAACTCAGCAAATCTAATTTTATTTCTATTTATTTTTGGGCCACACCTGGTGGCACTCAGGGTTTACTGCTGGTTCTCGCTTGGGGTTTACCCTCAGTGGGGCTGGGAGGGGCCATATGTAGTGCCAAAGATGAACCCAGGTTGACTGCGTGCATGGCACACACATGTTACTGACTCGGTTATCTCTCAGATTCTCAGCTGATCTAACTGTAAAAAATATTTGGGGGCCTGGGTGTAACTCGGCTGTCGAGAACTTGCCTTCCATGTAGGAAACTTGTATTCTGTCCTTGGCTCTGCAAAGAAAAAAAAAGACTATAGCCATAGAGTAATTGAGTAATCAAACTGAACCGAAGTATATTAGAGACCTTCCATTATTCTAACGCCTATATTTTACATATGACTGTAATCTTTTACTTATATTTGGTTTGGGGGCTTGGCTGTGCTCAGGGGCACCTCTATGGTGCTGGGACTCGAAACTGGTCCCCCAGAAATGTTTCTTCTGTCCCACTGGTGTCAGGACACTTTTGTCTTACTTTGGGCAAAATGCTGTAGAAGAGAAGTGAGGGGGGCACCCGAGCCATAGCACAGCAGGTGGGGCACTGGCCTCGAG